GAATAGTATGGAATTTTGCACATACAACCAAATTAGGCCTGAAAATAAGTATGCCAAATTTGATCGAAAACGGTTCAGATATAGCTATAGCTCCCATATATATTGTTCATCCGATTTGTTATTTTTGTCCTCCACAGCCATAATATGCACTCCGTTGTTTGGGGAAATATATCAAATGCAGCTCAGAAATACCTTTGCTAAATTTTATCGAGATCGGTTCAGATTTGGATATAGCTCCCATATATAACTTTGTCCGATTTACCTTTTATTGTCCACCAAACGTCTAATATTTGTCCAAATGGGATGGAATTTGGCACTTACGACCGAATTGAGTCTAGGAGCTAGTATGCCAAATTTGATCGAAAACGGTTCAGATATAGCTATAGCTCCTTTATATATTGTTCATCCGATTTGTTATATTTATTACCCACAGCCGTAATATGCACTCCGTAACAACGATATTCAGGGAAATATATCAAATACAGCTCAGAAATATCTTTGCCAAATTTTATCGAAATCGGTTTAGATTTGGATATAGCTCCCATATATATCTTTATCTAATTTCAAATTAATTTTGTACCAAATGGGCAATCCAAGTCCGAATTTAAAAGATACAAATACTTCGGCATATTTAGTCCTTTGAATTTTAAATTATAATTATAATCAATCAACTCAACTAAAGCTCAACTAAATAAGCAAAGTGGTGTAGGGTATCATAAAATCGGTCCCGCCCGACTTTAGGACTTTTTTTACTGTTTTTTTTTTTGAAAATTTTCTAATTCGTTCCAAATGGTGGAGGGTATTCAAAGTTCGGCCCGGCCGAACTAACTGTTTTTTTTACTATTTTACTATTTCAACAAGACGCTATCACATACTACACAGTAAGTTTGATATACGACGATTTTTTTTTTTTTTTTTGGAAATTTGTACTAAGTGTGCTAACTGTACTTAATGGTACAAAACTTGGAACTTTTGGCAAACAGATGGGCGAACAGATGAAGCCAAAATTTTAAAATTTTTTATTGGGTAGTAGGTTTGGATACAGAGGCGGTTTTGGTAATTTGTTCTATAGGTGCACGAAAAGTACTAACTAGTACTACATTTGATACAATTTGGTATTGGGTGAAAAGATAGTGTTTCATATCTGAAATTTTGTATTTGGGTCGTTGTTTATGTATAGCCTGCACATATGGACATTGTTTCGGAAATATGTACTATAATTGTACGAAAAGTACTAAATTTGATATTGGGTGAAGGGATAGGGCTGGAATCCTCAAATTGGATGTTGGGATTTCTGCTATCTGTGATTGAGATTTGGAATGTGGTTTTGGAAATATGTACTATAATTTTACGAGAAGTACCAAATGGTACGAAAATCAGTATTGGATAAAGGAATAGGACTAAACTCCTGAAATTTAATACAGATATCACTGATTGTGTCTGTGGCTAAGATAGAAGGCGGTTTGGGAAAGTGTGTACTAAGTGTGCTAATTGTAGTAAAGGTACTAAATTTGAATACGATTGGTTTAGAGTTTAACGAATGAAGCTGGAAATTTTAAATTTTGTATTGGGTTTCCTGTAGGTAGTAGGTTTGTGATAAAGAGGTGATTTTGAAAATATGTACTACCAGTGCACTAAACTATACTATATTTGGTGCAATACTACAATACTATCTATTCACCCAATACCAAGGGTGAACAGATAGTGCTTGAAATCTAAAATTTGGAATTATGGTCGTAGTTTATGTACATCCTGGACATATGGAGATGGTTTCGAAAATATGTACTATAATTGTACGTAAAGTACTGAATAGCACTATACTTGGTATTGGTAAAGGTATAGAGCTGAAATCCTGAAATTTTATAGTAGTGTCTGTGTTTTTGAGATTTGCCACTGACTTGGAAATGAGTTCTATATTTGTACGAGAAGTACTAAATTGTACTACAGTTGATATTCGGTGAAGGGATAGAATGGAAATTTGATGCTGAGGTCCCTGTTGTTGTCTGTGATAGAGAGGAGGAGCTGTTTTTCATGGGAGAAATTAAAAAGCTGAAATCCTCAAATTTTATATTAAGCTCGCTCTTGGCATCTGAGGTTGATATATGGAGATTGATTTGAAAATACTTTCTATATTGATATTGGGAAAAGGAATGGAAAAAGAATACCGAGATATGATATTTAGATTATTGACGGTTTCTGTGATTGAGATTTGACGGTGGTGTGGAATTGCGTCCGATATTTCTACGAAAAGTATTATATGCAAATAAATTGGGTATTGGGTGAAGGGATAGAGCTGGAATACCAAAATTTTATATTGGTACAAAATTTGCTATTGGAGCTGAAATTCTGATGGGTCCCAGTTGGTGGTGGTTTGTGATAAGGAGGTGGTTTAGCAAATGTGTAGTACGAAAAGTACTAAATAGTGCTGAATTTTATACAATTTGGTATAGGGCGAAGCGATAGTGCTTGAAATTTGCGATTAGGGTCGCTGTTCATGTGTAGCCTGAATAGATGGTTTTCGACAAGTATTTTGACTGATTTTAGCCACACACTATTATTTATTCAAGTGTGAAATTTGGAGATCTAATGGGTACTAACTCCGATGCCAAAAAATGTCCTATACATATATATGCCTTCGTTTAGCCCCCATATAAGGGTACCTCCCACTTTTCGGTATTTTGATGATTTTCGCTACATTTTCCAAAAATAATTATCTCAAACTTGGTCTTTTTGAAATTTTGGTATGTGCAGTATTTAAGGAAAATCTAACATTTGATTCCAATTTTTTGCGAACAATAATGATTTTGAACATTTGTTGGGGCAGGTACCACAAGGAGTTGGTCTATAAATTACATATTTACATTAAATCTCAGAAAAAAATGAAGGCATACCAAGTTTGAAAATAATGGTTGACTTGTTTCGCTATTTACGAGAGATATAAGTTTTGAAAATTGTGAACCTTTTGTGAGGGAGGTACAAGAAAGGGTGGACCGATATCTATTATCTACACACCAGATCTTGTGATAGTATATATATGTTAGTATAAGGTTAAGAAAGAATCAGATGCTTATTTCGCATTTTATAAGAAATATAATTATATAAAAATCTAACCCCTTTGTGGGAGAAGTACTGGAAGAAGTGGACCGATATATCCCTAATTCAAACTAGATATTTTGTTAATTAAAGTACTGGGATGTGTGAAATTTAGGAGAATCGAATGCTTACTTCGCATTTCATGGGAGATATAAATACTCAAAATTTGACCTGTTGTGTGCGACGTATATTTCTTCTTCGTACCATATTTTATGTTCGTAAAAATATTGAGATGCGCGAAACTCGAAGGCAATTGCACTTTTTATAAGAATTTTAATTATTCCAAATATTGACCCTTAGTGGGGGAGGTATTTGATAGAGCAGTCCGGTATTGTCCATTTTCACCTAGCACTGACAAAATTATTGCGATTTCAAAAATTGGATGATCCTTTCCCGTTCTATACGGCAAATTATTTTCTTTGAAAATGTTTACCTTTTGTGGGGAAGGTATCAGAAGGAGTGGACCGATATTGTCCAACTCCGAACCCGATCTAAGTTCTATAATAATAATACGATGTTTCAAGATTGAATCAAATCGGATACTCCCTTCGAGAGTTATCGTGCACTCCAGCCAGTCAGAAGGATGGACGGACAAAACTAGATCAACTCCAAATGTCCTGAAACGGATTTGGTCCAAAGACACCTAGGGTCTAAAACCGTTATTTCGATGAGACACATTTTGGCCGTATCAAATGATCTATAACCTCTGTAGTCTTATGGCGGAGGATATAAAAATAACAAGTAAAAAAGCTGTAAGTTCGGCCGGGCCGAACTTTTAATACCCTCCACCATTTGGTACAAATTTGGCAATTTCCAAAAAATAAAACCCGTTAAAAATTCTGTTAAAATCTTAAAAATACCGAATGCTTATACGACGACGTGGGCCTGCATAGGCAACTTTTGTCATAAATTATTACAATATTTAAATGGGAAACTTGAAGAAAAATCTGTTTATAATGTAGCTAAAATCGTCAAAATACCGAATATGGGGGGTACCGTAATATGGGGGCTATACGAAGACGTGGACCTGCACAGACAATTTTCTGGCATGGGCTGAAGTATCCATTACGAACTTCACATACGAAATTTGAAACAATCCCTGTAAATAACGTCGCTAAAATCATTAAAATACCGAATATCGGGGGGTACTGTTATATGGGGGCTATATGAAGACGTGGACCTACATGGCTCATTCTTTGACTTTGCATGAAGTATCCATTACGAACTTCAAATACCAAATTTGAAACGATTCCGGTAAACAATGTCGCTAAAATCATCAAAATACCGAATACGGGGGGTACCGTTATATGGGGGATACAGAAAGACGTGGACCTGCACAGATAATTTTCTGTCTTAGGCTGTAGCATCCATTACAAACTTCAAATGCCAAATTTGAAATAATTCCGGTGAATAATGTCGCTAAAATCATTAAAATACGAATATCGGGAGGTACCGCTATATGGGGGCTATATGATAACTTGGACCTACATGGCCCATTTACGAACTTAACCTGCCTACTGGGAAAAAATATATGTGCGCAAAATTTTAGCCTTCTATCTCAATTTGTTCGAAAGATAGCGTGATTACAACAGACAGACAGACGGACAGACACACAGACAGACAGACGGACATGGCTAAATCGTCTTAGAATTTTACATGATCAAGAATATATATACTTTGTTGGGTCTGACATGAATATTTCGAGGAGTTACAAACGGAATGACAAAGTTAATATCCTCCATAGTATGGTGGAGGGTATAAAAAGAAGCCAATTTCTTAGAAAATATGGTGGAAATCTATTCAAGATACATCCCAATAGATGGCCAATTTAAAATGCCAACTTGACGATACCAAAATAAATATACATGTGTACCGGTTTCAATGCGTTTTCCTATATCCTGGCTTACCTTTCTCAAACGTCGACGTTCACGCATTGTAGCCGCCTTGCGCCGATCCACTGCAACGCTTTTCTTTTTGCACGCCTTGCAGGCCCAGGTCAGACAGGGTCTTGACGATTGGGCATTCGCACAGACGAGCGGCGCCAAGACATGCTCCTCCGAGCTTAAACTATTTTCATCGTAATCCGTGAAAATGGGCGAAGGTGTCAGGTTGTGGGATTCGCTGGTGGTGTCATTGAAATGGCGAAAACTGCAATCGTTGGGCGACAAGTTATTGGAATTTGTCAGGTTATCGCAATTGTTCGAGGCGCTATGTAGGCGGGATAAGAATGAATGTAATTGTTGCTGTTGTTGTTGTTGATGATGATGGTGGTGATGTTGTTGCTGTGGTTGATACTGTTGATTTTGAAGTTGTTGCTGCTGTTGGCGATGATGTTGATGAAGTTGGTGTTGCTGCTGCTGTTGTTGTTGCTGCTGCTGCACAACATTTTGTTGTTGCATTCTTGAATTGAATTGATATTGAATCATTGATTTGTGGATATTGAAGTCGTTTTCCTCTTCCTCTTCCCTGTTGTGTTCTTTTTTAATTGCCACAACACTATCACTTTGTTCCGCTGTGGTACACTGAAAATTTGTACTGCGATATTTTGTCATAATATTTCTTTTTTTTTCAAATTTATTTTTTCTTTCAAAACTTTTAGTATTAATTTCAAATTTATTTATTTTGGATTTCTTTTCAGTAATTTAAAAACTTCACGCGCACTTTTCCCGTCAGCAATTTTTCCCGTCGTCAAAATAAACTATCCGCCGCGTACCGTCGTTGTTCCCAATCTTCGTCGTCTATCGTCGTCGGCACTCATTCAACATTTGGTGACAAAATCTTCGTCGTCGTTTTCATTTCCATATTATTTTGCTTCTTTCCCTTTTTTCCGTTTTAAACTCAAAATTTTCATTCGAAATATTCTGAGTGAAACACTCAAAACATCATTGTCACGCTGCAGAAGATTTGAATGTTTTGAGTTGTTGCTATTTTTAAATCGTTCGCTTATTCGTTCGTTTTTGGCATTCCTTCTAATGTCTCGAATCATGAATGGCTAGGCACCATGCCATATGGTGATGGTAGAGGTATGTATGATGGTATGGCATGAGTGTGTGGGATCACGCCTCCCAATTCCTTTGGTGTTGAGCATCGGGCAGTGGTCAATTTGGGTTTAGTATCCGACATTTTGTTTTCGAATTAAGAGGATTTTTGAAAATAGGAAGCAATAAGTAGTAAAAAAGTCCAATACAACAACAGCCATAACTTCTTCCCCTTCACATCAGAAGTGACTCTCATGCTAAATATCAGAACTATCTAGCTCTACCTCTTTGAATTTTGTAAATTTTTCTTAATGTACAATATTTTGAAAATTTTAATACCTTTTTAGTACAACTGTTAGATACACCTTAGGGTGAGATAAAAAAAAAACTGCAACAAAGTCAAAGGCCATAATTTTGACATTTTTTTTTTTTTCATCAAATTTTATTAATTGAAAGCAAAAAATGTCGGAAATAGCATTAAATTTTAGAATAAATTTAGATTTGTTCGAATTTGTTACTTTTGGCACGAATTATGGCCCATGAAACCATCACACGCTACCCGAACGTTGCTCTGCGGTATTTTGGTCCATTCCCGACGAAGCGCTTGCTTGAGGTGATCGACACTTTGTTACTTTTTAGTGCCAACTTTGCTTTCCAAAATACTTCAGACACAATAGTCCAACGGATTGGTATCCGAAGATTTTGGTAGCCATTGTGCGCTGAAAATGAAGCAAGAAACCTCATTTTGGAACCATTCTTGGATGGCACGTGCTGAATGCGATGGTGCTGAGTCCTGTTGGAATGTCCAAGGTCTGCGGCCACAATGTTTGCGTGCCCAAGGCTTTAATGCACCCTCAACCAACCTCGTTGTTTGTTGGTGTATTTTTGAGATATGCCTTTTCCACTGTGTCATTTCGTGAGATTCTTCGTGAGGAGGATCTTGTCTATTGTTGTGTCATTTGTCTCTACTTGTGAAGCTGATGGCCATGTATTGGTCGCAAGTCACCCGTGAGGGAGGCTAAATCGTTGTCAGTGTGTCCACTGTTGATGTGCTTTGTTTATGCATTGCTGGTTTGTGATGGCGTTGGTCACCAGTCCAGGACTGTTTAGAGTCCAACTGGTAGTAACTTCGGTTACGAAGCCTGACCGGAGGCTATATTCTGGTACCGCGGGTGTCAGGTGCCCCTAGGTCCTTGGTGCTGGCCCCCTTGTGGGAGCTTCGCGGTGGCTGTGGTTTGTACCCAAATCGCGGGTAGAGTATTAACTCGAATGTGGAGTTGCATTTTCAACCGGGGGCCTGACCCATAGAAAGGCAGGAGTTTAGATAGGCTCCGCCCCTAACCAAGGGGGTGATCACGTCCAAATACGTGTGAACAATTGGTACTCACATTTCGATGTGGGGACGTTGATAGACGCATTGTATTCACCCGGTGTTTAGAGCACCGTGAGGTTAAGCCAAAGCGGCAGGTACCCACGTACTCAAAATCACGAAACCCTCCAGAATATTTTCGCGATAATATTCAGCATTTATTCTGATGCCACGGTCGATTAATACGAGCGGAGTGCGACCATCGGCTGCTATGGTGGCCCACACCATCACCATGGCAGGCACTTGAGTTCTGGTGGCCAACCGAAGGTGTACATTTTCAGCTGACTGCTGGACAACGAATGTTTTCTCATCGCAGAAAACCAAATTCGGCAGTTCACCTCTTTCGGCAACTCTTTAGCTCTTTTGAGTCTATTTTCTTTCTGTTGCGGTGTAAATTCTTGCACTTTTTGGTATTTCAATGACTTTACCCCGAGCTCACTTTTCACGATTTGCCGAATGGAATATTGCGATATGTTTAGCTCACGAGCCATTTTTCGGCCACTGCGACGCTGGTTTCGATCAAGTCGCTTTTTATACCCTCAGCCATATGGCTACAGAGGGTATATATCATTTGATACGGTCAAAACGTGCCTAGTCGAAATAATGGTTTTAGACCCTAGGTCTCTTTGGACCAAATCCGTTTCAGAACATTTGGAGTCGATCTAGCGATGTCCGTCCGTCCGTCTGTCTGTCTGTCTGGCTGGCTGGTGCGCACGATAACTCTCGAAGGGAGTATCCGATTTGGTCCAAATTGGATACATCGTAATATTTTTATCAAACTTAGATCGAGTTCGGAGATGGACAATATCGGTCCACTCCTTCTGGTACCTCCCCCACAAAAGGTCGAAATTTTCAAAAAAATATATTTTTTGCACAGAAAGAGAAAGGATAATCCGAATTTGCTCTAACTTTGCAAATCCTAATATTTGCATTAGTTCTAGGTCAAGTGTGAAAATGGACAGTATCGGTCCACTCCATCAAGTACCTCCCCCACAAATGGTCAACATTTTGAATAATTACAATCTCATTAAATGTGATGTAAAAGTCCGATTGTCTTCAAAGTTCACACATCCTAATATTTGCATTAACCCATGGTCTGGTGTGAAAGGGGAATACATCGGTCCACTCCTTCTGGTACGTCCCCCACAAAATATTGAAATTTTGAGTACCCATGAAGCTCATAAAATACCAAATTAACATCCGATTCCATTTAGACTTGGCACATCTGTGGCAATATTTATATCATATTATTGGGTCCGATAGAAAATGGACAATATTGGCCCATTCCTTCGGGGCCTGCTCCATAGAGGGTCAAACGTTTGAATAACCTTAACACTAGTCAAAATATATTTAAATAATCGAACATAGGCTGAGTCTGACACTTTTTAACTTGTTTTTATTCTGTTCAGTTTTTATAAATTTAATTTCGAATATCCGGGCATCCAAGCCCGTCCCCAAGAAATAATTACATTCCCGGAAACAGGATATGAATAGCTATCTGTGGAGTGAATACCTACCTGTGGAGTAAAAAGGCAATAAAGTTCGACGGGGCCGAACTTTTTATACCACCCACCATTTGGAAGAAAATTGAAAATTTTCAAAAAAAAAATCCCGCCGAAAAATACCGCTCAAATGAACACCGTTATATGTGGGCTATACGAAGACGCGTTCCTGCATAAGTAATTTGTGTCATAGGCTGTAGTAACTGTTCCGAACTTTATATACGACATACGACAAATAATTCCATTGAATAACATCGCAAAAATCATCAAAATACCGAATATCGGGAGGTGCCGTTATATGGGGATATACGATATCGTGGACATATATGGACAATTCTCTTTCAGGGGGTAAAGTACTCATAAGGAACACCTTGTGTGGATTTTCAGACAATTCAATTGAAAAATGTGGCTAAAATCATCAAATTACCGAATATCGGCAGGTGCCGTTATATGGGAGCCGATATAGCCCATCTTCGAACTTTACCTGCCTGCAGACAAAAGGCAGAGTAATGGTAACCTTAGAGGCTTTTCTGTTCGTTCGTAGACAATTAAATGATCATTTGATTCTTTAAAGGAACTTCAGCCTAATAAAGGCCTGACTCCATTCCATGGAAGAGCTGCAAAGGCTTTTCTGTCCATAGTTGTTTTTGTCCAAGGATATATCGATAGAAAAGACCTTCAAGGTCTTCCAACAATTATTGACCTTTCAATGATCTTCCCTCGAGATAAAATCGTTTGAAGGCCTTCTAACAAGAGAAGACCTTTTAACTGGCTTGCTGTCCACCGAAGACGCTCGCCCTGGAATCTTTGAAGGGTTTTCAGTCTCATATCCATTGAAGACATTTAAAGGGTCATTTAAAGGATCTTCGATCCATTCAAGACTGTTAAAGAATACTCCATCCTTATGTCTTTTGATGATATAACTAGGCTCGCTTGGTCTTCTGTTTGTGGGAGATTTTTAGAAAATTGTCTGCCCATTGAGGATTGTCGAAATGTTTTATTCATTACCCTTAAAATCCCTGAAAATGTCTTTCTTTATCAGTTCTAAAAGTTTTACTCTGCTCGCGCAAAGAAGTGCAATGTAGTCCGAACATTTTCTGGATTCCTCGTCTAAATTCTCAATTCCATAACTTATAATATATCTATGTTTCTTCCACCACCGATCTCTTGACCATCCGGGGCCATTATCAATCACCATCGTTTCCCAACAGTGGTCGTTTGTCGCCTTAATAAGCACTGATCGTATTCCACCTCTGGAAGCATATCGATCATCCGATACTCTTCTCGCGACACTCACACGCTTTTCTTCTTTCTTTTTTTCGTTCTGCTCTCGTTCCGTCTAATTTATTGCTGTCCAAATAGAAAATATATCTTCGATGATCTCCTAAATCTTTTGGAATTGTTTTGTAAATCTTGCTGCAGTGATTTGTTGTGGTTGTAGTTAAACATTGGGCCGTTTGTCGTCGACGTCGGCATTGGCACCCTCCACCACCACTGCACCACATCACATTTCAAAGTGGGAGAAAAAAAACAAAACATTGACTGCAGCCAACCGCCCACCTTTTGTTTATCAAATGCCGGCTGAAGTATCCATCATTGCGTCCATCCTCCTTTTTTTTTTTTTTTTTTGTTGGGCACCAAAGACCATATAATTCACACCGTTTTCGTTTCTCGATTACGTTCCACTTCTGTGGGGTGTCCATCAATCTCCTCTTCGTTAGGTTTTTTGATTTATTTCGCCGGGATAGGAAAGTAATTTTTGTTTTTCTTTGAACAAATGTTTTGATTTGTACTTCGTAATTACCCATGGATAGGTTTGGAATTGGACCTGCTTCTCCAAGCAGGAGAGCAAATGGAGAGAGAAGATATGTTTTTCAATGCATAAATGTAAGAGTCTTTATTTAAAGAGTAATGTTGTGAGTTGGAACCGTGAGATCGAAAATAATCCTAGTTTTCCAAAAATAATTACATCTACATACACTATTCATTACCAGTAGGCCAAAAATAATGAGTGACTTCTATAAAATTTAGAAAGCAAAAAAGTTATTCGTGATGAAATTCAAGCGTGATAGTGTGATTTCTTTATATTTGGCTGGAAAACCACAAGTGGCTATCGTTAAAGCACTCCAGCATTTAAATGTGAATAAATCTTTTGTGTCTCGTACCATCGCTGGTCTCGTAGTAGCCCGACGTCAAGGAAGTGGACGAAAGAAAACTGCAACATCAGCAG